AGTAGCCCAGTACTAAAAGAAGCAGAAAGAGATTTTTTCTTAGAAAATTTAGAATTTCCTTTAGAAAAAAAATTATTCTAGAAGGAAATACAGAAATTCAGGAAAGGATAAATAGCACCAGAGAGGATAAATTATTACTGACTTAAAAATAATTCTTTACTATTTAAAACAAATAAACTAATGATAATATTTTACAGGGCTTAATATATAAGATGACAAAAATAGCAAAAACCAAACAGGTATAACAGTGTTAAACAGTTTTAAAGTTGTTCATTTTTCAAGCGATAAAATTGCAATTTAAGATATAATGCAATAAATTGTAATATCTAGAGTAAACATTAAAGAAAAATAAAAGAAAGCAAAATAAAAAAATGTTAATGGAGGAGAAAATGAATGGAGTGAAACACATGAATAAAATACAAATAAAATATGAAAGGAGAAAAAAAAGGAAAGGAAAGAAAAAATTAAACAAACAGGAAGATGGTAGACAAATAGAAACATATCAGTACTTTAATTATAAGTGCAGTAAATCAAATAATAAAAATTATAAAACCAGATTAAAATAAAACAAAACAACAAATACTTAGCTTAGTAGCTTACATGAAACTTTTAAAAAATAAGACCAATATAGTTTGAAAGTAAAATGATGGACAACATAACATTTAACCATTAATGAACAAAAAAGAAAACAAAAATGTTTTATAGTTATATTAATATCAGGCAAATTGGACTTTAGTTATGAATCATTATTAAAGTTAAAGAGAGACATTTCACAATGAATTATTTTCAATCCAAAGGAGGATATCATAACCTTCAATCTGTGTACTCCAGTAATACGGTTTCAAACTATATCTAAACAAAACAAAACAAAAACTAATAGAAAAATAAAAGGATAAATAGAAAAATCCAGTATCGTAGTGGAAGACATTAATATACACCCCTCAATGGCTGACAATGAAAATTCTGTATAGATATAGAAAACTGAAATGACATAATGAATAAACTTGAACTTATTTACATATGTAGAAATCTAACCCTGCAGCTGCAGAATTTACCTTCTTTTAAAGCACATAGAGATACTTATCTAAATCAAGTACATGCTAACATCTAAAGAAACCCTCTGCAAGTTTCAAAATATATGTCTGTAGCCATTAAAAAATAAACTAGATATCATTTTTTATAAGTATACTAGAGAAACTCTAGCTTGCTGATAATTAAAACATACACTCCACATTTTGATGGGTCAAAAGAGAAGTTTTCTTGTTCGTTTTTTAAAACTCCTGTTTCCAAGAAAATAAAGCTAAATATATTATATACCATTTAGATTTGTTTTCATGAAAATGAAAATGATAAATTAAAAACAGTGATCCTTCTTCTAAAATGTTTTGCTATCAACAAAATCATATCAATGTCGGTATCTTCATTTGTGATATTTCCTTTTTCACTAACATTAAAACTTACACAAACCAATTGAACAGCCTTCATTTTTAGCATTACGGGAAATATTGCCATCTATTGAATTTTTAGGACTCGCTCCTCCCAATGTTACATTGAATTATATCATCTCTAGTCATAAGCGGGCTTAATTTGTTGGATGACTTACAATTTGCAAGCATTTCAAGTTCTTGGGCAAGTTTTGTTAGGTAATCAAGCTTCTACTATTTTGTTGTGATCAGTTGGCGTGTGTCATTCTTCTTTCCCCAACATGGTTATCTACTCTACAAGGGCAGTTATCAAAATACAGCTCCTCCCATTTAGGGTACGGAAGGTTTGCTTTATGAACTTTCATGAAAGTTATTGAATTTTACATGCAAACTCTTTATACAAAATAAAAGATGTCAGCGACTTTTTACATACCTAAGAATAAATTAAGCAATAACTATTAACATAGTTAAAACCAGAGAAGGAAATAGTAAGAAGCTTAAGAAGTAGAATAGATTCCTTTCAATAGAAGAACTAATATTGAGGAGTTTTATACCTTGAGATGTTTTTCTCTCAAGAACTAGGTATCCTTTGTGTCTTTAGATTAAGGATTCAAGCCACAAATGGGCTGATTTGTTCGCTTTCACTGTGAGTCTTACAAACAGCTCCCTTTCCTGACACTTTCCCGCCCACATGTCCACATTACCGGGAATTGCTCATGGCTGTGCTCTTAGTTGGGCATGTATTATGCAGTATTTACCCTCCCCTACTGCCTCCCTGACACTGGCAGGCAACCTGCTTCAGCCTGCATCTTTATGTGCCTCATATCCTAGACCACTGAGCTTATAACTCCCTAATGTAGAGACTTTGTAAAGCAAATTATTAGTCTAGCTCACTCTCTAGCTCTCAAACACTTACTCAAAGTCTATTTACTTTAAATTAAGATGCAAGATATAAAAAGCTGACTCACTTTCTCAGGCCTTGGTAGATTAACAGAAGAAAGAAAAAGAAAAGAAAACAAATGCTTTGAGGGAAGGTTGTGCAAAGTTTTGAGTGACAGATGTTTATACTAGAGTCAGTGACAGCAATGGTGTAAGAATCATGGCTCAGACAGGTGAAGAGAGAAAGAAGTCCGCAGGTGAACTGTAAAAATATCATATTTGAAAGAAAACAATTAGACTGCTGGATCCATTTAATGCCTGGGTATGATCTTTATACAATTTGAACTGTCTATAAAATGTCTGCATTTCATGGTGCATCACGAATGCAGTTCTCATAATATATCATTTTTTTCTCCAAGCAGTTTACAGAGTTTCCCATGATATACCTAAGCATTTGATGAGTTACAATGCTTCTGGGTAAATTAAAGAATAAGCCACTCTTGTCATGGTGACACCATATCATTCTGAAAGCAGCAGTGTGTTAGCCATAATCAAATATCTTTTAAACAAACTAGAGTGTGAGGTTCTGTGTGTGCACTGCCTCCATTGCAAAACAATTAACATGCATCCTGCAGTGTGGCAGGATTGGCATCTGTCAGTTATTCTGCACAGACTACTACTGATGTAAAAAGGTAGATCCTGTTAGATATCATGAGTTCGCTCAGAGAGTGTTCATTTATTCTGTGTCCTTGTCAGGTAAAACAATTGTTTCACCATGAACTGATGTTTCAACAGTAACACTGTTATTAATCAAGTTACTAAAATTAGGAATACACTTCTCTATATTCATCACAACTACAATTTTCTATTGATGTCTAAAACCAATTATAATGGACTTGTAAATTAAAAAAAATAGTTTATGGTGAGAAGGAGGAAGAGAAAGACTGGGAGACACTATTTGTACCATGGTCAAACATTTATTGAGTGTCTATTGTGTATACTTGAGTTTTCACTCTACTGAAAACTATAATGTTAATATGCATCTCAAAAATAGTAGTGGTAGAATCTACTCAAAAATAATGTAGACAAGTTGGTGTTGTAAATTATCATCAAGTTTACATTCAGTTGAGTTTAGTATTATGATTCACTACATCTTTAAGAAAATCTTTGAACTTCAATTTCCTCATACTATGAAATAATAGCATTTGTCTTATGGTGATATATTTGTATATGCATGTTGCGTGGACTAAGCGATAAAATAAATACAAAGTGTACTATAATTTGTAAAATAACTTAAAATTTAATTATATTTTATGGTTTAATATAATACAGATTTACCTATGATTTATAATTTTCTTTCAAGCATACGTTTTTCATGGAGCACAGGCCACATGAAGGAACCACGTCACATAATCTTATTACTAGACCCAGTATTTTAAGGTGGTTTTACCTAACTGTGAATTTGACTTGTATGCTTCCTCACAATGGTAGTTTGACAGAATACTTAAATTCAACTCATTCACTTAGTAATCATTTACCCAGGGATGGGCACTAATCTGAAGACTTAAGTTTACACAGACAACTTAAGCATTGTTCTTACTTGGACTTGTAGTAAGGAGATACATACCTACAGAAATACACATTACATGAAAGTGCATGGGACAGGGCTATGCAACAGGAAACAAGAATTAATTAACTCTCTGCTAATTCTGCAACAGAGTTCAGAGAAATTCATGAGAGGGTTTTAAACAAAGAAATATGAGTATGGAGAATTCTGGGCTGAGTTAAGGATGTGTAAAGTGTTATTGCATTTTAGGAACAGGAACTGATTCACTGTGGCTAGACCTGGAGTGTACTGAGCAATGTGAAGAGATAAAACTGGGCGAGGCATTTGGCACTGACTTGTGAAGACCCTTCGTGGATACCACATTGTCTCCTTTATTATAGTTTTAACATCATGTGTGAGAAGGACATAAGGAACAGCTTCTCAACAGGGTTTTTATGATAATTAAAGATTATTCTATAAAATGTCATCCACAGCTCTGTTACATTAGAAATGCTGAAATATATTTCTTTCTTAGTCTGAAGATGTCATAAACACCATTTCGTTCCAAACTCACAGAACTGACACCTTCTCCCCCTGAATTGCCTGCTGGTTTGAGTTCTCCACTCTCAAGGCTCATATTCTATTCTGAGATCCTACTTTATTCTATCAGCTGTGCCCTGCTGTTGGATGGTGTGTGTGTGTGCATGTGTTTGTGTGCAGAGCATTCGTTCATAACATGAAGGATTTTTTAAAAATTTTAGTCACAAAAGGTACATGTGCAATTATTTTGTGTGAGTAGAATACTGATATCAAAATGTATTTTGAACATCTCCATAAAGATCTTAGAAACACACAACTACTTCCTCAAATTCAGGATATCATTACTTAGCCCCACTACATCATTTTTAATATTTAACTGTGATGCCAACTGAAACACATATCTTTAACACAGAAACAATTATCTACCAGATTCAGGAGCCAATAGGTGGAGTGACTTCTTTAGCCCTGTGTATAGAAGGGAGACCATAAAGCATGAAAATAAAATATTCTCATTGAGATAATAATAACATGACATTATATTTTCAAGTATTTCATTGTGATTTACATAAATGAACAGTGATAAGGGCAAACCATAAGAAAAAGGTACATACTCTGAGGAAACCGTGGGGGGTTGTCGTTGACATCGGTCAGGGTGATGTTGACCGTTGTCGATCCTGAAAGCCCTCCAACTTGCCCAGCCATGTCTTTGGCTTGAATGACCACCGAGTAGTGTTCTCTGGCTTCTCTGTCCATATTATGTAAGGCAGTTCTAATAACTCCTGTAATACATATTTTAAACAAAACAATATGGATTATACATTAAATGAGAAGCAAGAGATTATATTACATTAAAAGAAATATCTCTCTATCTTTTTCTGTTTTCAGCATTTTTTTTTGTTTGTTTTTTGGTGAGGAAGATTGGCCCTGAGCTAACATCTGTGCCCAGCTTCCCCTATTTTATATGTGGGACATGACAACAGCAAGGCTTGATGAGCAGTGTGTAGGTTCTCACCTGGTGTCCAAACCCATGAACCCCTGGCTGCTGAAGCAGGGCATATGAACTTAACTACTATGCCATCAGGCCAGCTCCAAGAATTGTATTTTTAAATGAAATATTTTTGAGAGGAAGCTAGACTTCTGAGACAAATAGTATCTTAACAATTGAACCCAAATCGTCACATTGAACCATTTATTTACACCACATGTTCCAAAGCATTCTATTAGTGGCAAATTAAGATACCCATCTCTTTGTGTTCTTTAGGGTGGATGGTCCCTAGAGGGCAGCCTTGCAGCCCGAGCTTTCCCCTTCTTCTGGTGTGCTGAACATTTCACAACTTGTGCTCCTCACAAGTGTCCACTGAAATGATTTGAGCAGAGGCTAATTTTCCTCTTTTCAGAACAATTTATATAGCTTCCTGACAGGGTTATCAAAATTAGGTGATGGAAAACATTGAAAGAGTGTGGACACTTGAACAAAGATTGGGAGGCATTTTAACATTTATCAAGACTAAGAAACTTACTGTTTTTGTCAGGAAATAACAACTCTAAGAACTAGCTTTAAGTACATAAGCAAACTAAGGAAAGTGATGAGATTGATTCCAAAAATCACACATTAAAGTCACATTCTTTGTCTGATAATAGTGCCAAAGGAGATATTTAACACGTTTTTCATGAATTAACACTTGGATTCAATAAAGAGATAAAAAAGTTATATATTCATATGTAATTATGCATAGTACACATACATGTAACACATAAATTACACCAACATGTAGTATACATGTAACACACACATATAATTTACATAGCTTTGTCAATAGATCCTTTAATTTAAAACTGAAACGCATTTTCCAGAGGGTCAAACTTACCCTAGAACTATTAACTATGTCACAAAATTAAAAAATCGTCCTCATGTAGATGAACCATATTATAAATAAGTATAAATACATACGTATAATATACATTTGTATTATACATGCATATAAATTTGCAATTCCAAACATAGGTCAATATTTAACAATCACCTTTTTAAAAATCACCTTATTAAAAATATTTGGATCATGTCACTTTTGAGAAACACACCAATGGTTTCAATCACTCACACACTTGACTATTAGCGCAATTCATAGGATGACGCCAATTATAATAACTGTTGACTATAGAATTTAACGAACACTTTTACAGATAACATCTTGATATAATGAGAGAAAATAAGGTTGTAGGGGCCAGCCCAGTGGCACAGTGGTTAAGGGCACACATTCCGCTTCGGCAGCCCGCAGTTTGTCAGTTCAGATCCTGGGTGCAGACATGGCACCACTTCGCATGCCATGCTGTTGTAGGCATCACACGTATAAAGTAGAGGAAGATGGGCACAGCTGTTAGCTCAGGGCCAGGCTTCCTCAGCAAAAAAAAAAAAAAAGAGGAGGCTTGGCAGCAGTTAGCTCAGGACTAATCTTCCTCAAAAAAAAAAAAAAAAAGAGAAAGAAAATAGGGTTGTATATTCAAGTTAAAAAATAGTCTTTTAAAAGTGGGAAGGAGTCATCAATCAGTAATTTTGAGTATAGAACACTGAGCCACTACATTTTTTTTAACCTAATTGATTGCATGTATAATGTCTTTGAAAGAAGAACCTCAGGCATCAGGAAAAGAGATCCCACAACTTCCAAAATTTGTGAATACATAATTGTGGGAATGCAGGAAAACTTTCCTGAAGCTAAATAGAAATGAAAATTATTCTTATCAAAAGAAATTATAATAATGAGATAATAAATGATTCATCTAATTCATGTATATGAAAAAGCCTCAAGCATCCTTATTAAAAAGAACAATGTTTTATCACATAAGATAATTATATAAGAAGAAATTGAATTGATGCAGAAATGAACAGGCTAAGAATTTCTGAAAATATTTCATGAAACAAATGTATACTTTCCAATATTTGGAAAAAGAGTAAGGATGCCATTCTGAAAAGAATACATTGTAAATGGGAAATGCCTCTGGTGTGTAGCAGTATTAGATTATTGTCCAGGATAATGTTTTACAATGAAATCATTAAAGCAATATTTGCAGGATATAAATATATAAAAGGAATATCCATCATTACAAAGTGAATGATGGATATTCCTTTTATACAATTTGCATGTTATTCATTCAAGAGGCTCAGAGAAGGGAAATCAGCACAACTTCTGTTTTATAGTACAGACTTTAATAACTCATCGCATTATCTCCCTTCTTTTATAATATAGCTGCTTCTGCCACAAAATGGAAAGAAAGTTGTCAGCCAAATTTGCTTTTGGAAAGAAAAGAGCACATCCAGAATTGACACATCCTTCTCAGAAATGATTGTCTAAGCATCCATTTAAATTCACAATTCTCTTGAGGATAGCTCAGTTGCACATACTTAGCTATGACCTCCCTTGAGGGCACATAGGTACCACTGGGAATGTTCAATCAAATTGCCATAGCAACATGAGCCTAGTATATAATAATCCTCCTCTAACACGTAGCCCAGATGCTTGTAATTGGGGTAGCCTAGAACACAGCCAATGCATAGTAACATCTTTTTTGCTTTTAAATAGACTTTATTTTTCAGAGCAGTTTTAGGTCCAGAGCAAAATTCAGAAGAAAGTATAGACAGTTACCTTACTCCTCTCACCCAAACACACGGCCTCCTCTACTATTAACATCACCCAAGGTCCATAGTTTACAGTAGGGTTCACTCTTGTTGTTACACCTTCTATGGGTTTGGACAAATGTGTAATGGCATGTATCCACCATCATAGTATCACACAGAATAAGTTAACTACCCTAAAATTCACCTCTGCTCAACTTATTCATCCCTCTCTCCTCTGAACCGTTGGCAACCACTGATCTTTTTACTGTCTACATAATTTTGCCTTTTCCAGAATATCATATAATTGGAATCACACACTAGCCTTTTCAGATTGGCTTCTTTACTTCACAATAGGCATTTAAGGATCCTCCATGTCTTTTCGTGGCTTGATAGCTCATTTATTTTTAGTGCTAAATAATATTCCATTTTCTGGATGTATCAAACTTTGTTTATATATTCACCTACTGGAAGACATTTTCGATTTTTCTACATTTTGGTGATTATGAATAAAGCTGCTATAAACATCCATGTGCAGTTTTTTGTGTAGATAGAAGTTTTCAGCTCCTTTGAGTAAATATCAAGGAGTATGACTGCTAGATTTTATGGTTAAGAGTCTGTTTAGTTTTGTAAGAAACTGCAAACTGTCTTCCAAAGTGGCTGTCCTATTTTACATTCCCACTAACAGTGAAGGAGAGTTCCTGTTGTTCACATCCTCATCAGCATTTGCTATTGTCTGTGTTTTGGATTTTGGCCATTGTATTGTCTAGTGCTATCTCATTGTTTGAATTTGTATTTCCATAATGGCGATAATATTGAACATTTTTTCATATTCTTATTTTCATACGTATGTCTTATTTGGTGAGGTGTCTGTTAAGGTCTTTTGCCCAGTGTTTTCTTATTGCTGAATTGTAAGAGTTCTCCGCATATTTTAGATAACAGTCCTTTATCAGATATGTCATTTGCAAATATTTTCTCCAAGGCTAAGACATAGATTCTCATTCTCTTGAGTGTCCTTCACAGTGCAGAAGTTTTTAATTTTTGAAGTCCAAATTATCAATTATTTCTTTCATGGATCATGACTTTGGGGTTGTATCTAAAAAATTATTGTCATACCCATGGTCCTCTAGATTTTCTCCTATGTTATCTTCTAGGAAATTTATAGTTTTGTGTTTAGTACTTAGGTCTGTGATCTATTTTGAGTTACTTCTTGTTAAAAGTGTAACATCTGTCATCTTTTTGCATGTGGATGTCAATTTTTTCCAGCAACATTTGTTGAAAAGACTGTCTTCTCCATTGTATTATGTTTGCTCCTTTGTCAAAGAGTAGTTGACTCCATGTATGTGGGTCTGTTTTGGGACTCTCTATTCTGTCCCATTGATATATTTGTCTATTCTTCCATCAATATCACACCATCTTGATTACCATAGCTTTATAGTAAGTCTTGAAGTCAGGTAGTGTCAGTCCTTCATTTTTGTTCTTCTCCTTCAATACTGTGTTGGCTATTCTGAGTCTTTTGCCTCTATATACAAACTTTAGAATCAATTTGTCAATATCCACAAAATAACTTTCTGGGATTTTGATTGGTATTTCATTGACTCTATAGATAAAGCTGGGAAGAACTGACATCTTGGCAATGTTGAATCTTTCTATCTTTCCACATGGACTATCTCTCCATTTATTTAGTTCTTTGTTTCTTCCATTAGAGTTTTGTCGCTTTCCTGTTTTCCTCATATAGATTTTGTAACTTTTTTGTTAGATTTATATCTAAATATTTCTTTTGGGGGAAAGCTTACCTAAATGATATTGTATTTTTAAATTAAATTCCACTTGTTCATTGCTGGTATATAGGAAAGTGATTGGCTTTTATATATTATCCTTATATCCTGAAACCTTGCTAAAATGCTCAATGGTTCCTGGAGTTTTCCTAGATGCCATTGATTCCTTTGGATTTTCTACATAGACAACTATATCATCTGTGAACAAAGACAGTTTTATTTCTTCTTTACAAATACGCATAGCTTTTATTTCCTAAGAAATATTTTGTTGCTTTAGCTAGAACTTAAGTTATGATATTCTAAAGCAGTGGTGAGAGGGGACGTCTTCACCTTGTTCCTGATCTTAGTGGGGAAGCTTTCAGTTTCTTATCATTAAGTATGATGTTAGCTG